GGGGGTGGAAGGCAGGAGAAATTAGAGTTACTCATCCATGAACATTTGAGAGTGGAGAGGAAGAAAAAAATGGTATGGGGTTGGGGGGAGGGGGTTGTTGCGTGAGAATTCGTTAATTGGTATTTTCATACAACAGTCAACTCGCGAATTCCCGATGCGGCGTCTGTCGGCTTTCGATTTTTCAGGCATTTTTTGCAAACCTCTGTATGTACATATATATAAAGCTCTCCAACTCCAATAAACAAACTTTATCACCCTGACCAATTTGCAGCATTGCGAGATACAAACCCGTAGGCTACTATTATTGGTCGATGCTGGACCCGCGTTGTTTCTTTTGAGTGTAAATCCGTGACTTTTACTGTCTAATTTTTTTAAACACAAACAGAAGCCTTTTTTTTACTGGAGATTGTGCAACTGTAGGGAGTATGTTGAGGTAAGTGTCAAAGTTGTTGGCCAGTTCTCTAAATTTACAGTTTCTTCTCGCCGCTCTGTCAAATTAAACTCGTAGGGGGGAGGGGTGGGGGAGGAGACGTGCCACATTTTCATTACAGAATGGTACTTTTTTATGGCGCGGTAGTAATTCAACGCTACTTTCAACACAGAAAGGACTTCTAAATGAAAGATACACTTCCGATAAGACTAAGATTTATAAGGAGATGGGAAGCTTTCATGACTCCCCCAAACAACCTAAAATAATTCAAATTCAAGAACACTTGGAGATTAGAACCAAAGCCACCCGTTCAATAGCGTGGCGTGTCGTAATTAGGTATCAAATTTGGGAGAGCAATTTTGAAGATAATATGCACTTTCTCGGCAAGGTTTTTATCCCGAAGCGAAAGTTTAACAAATTCCCCAAAGTCATTGTGCTTATAAACTTACAGATCGTTAGCCCAAAAGTATTCCAGAAACTCCGCGTCGAACCTACAAGGAGCAGTCCGTAGCAATTCTTTTTTTTTCTAAATATTAATCTAGGTTCACGAAAGAATTAGTTACTCTTTATAATTCCAAAACTAGCAAGATGCTAATACAGTAGGTTTGAAAACGTTTACGTCAGACAGGAAAGTAATAAATCTTGATGGTCAGTGGGTTATTTTTTTTTCCACTCCACGGGTCCTGAGAAAAAACAAAATTTTAATTAATAACATTCACTTCAAATCCAAATCCAAGCTACAGCGCTCCGATATCTCAGGTGTTATCATGCTAGGCTACATTATGAAGCGGGGGGCCCTGGTTCGAATACCCAACAGGCGTTCTTGAACTCGGGTTTTGAGTTTTTCCTGTTTTTGGTTGTTGTTGGGGTTTTTTTTATAATTTGTTTCATTTCGGGGTTGTTTTTTTGTTTTGTTTGTGTGTGCGGGTTTAGAGTAACTTAGTTTAAGGCCCGCCACCCACAGGCTCGGCCCTATCCGACTCAGACATTAACATCGGAGTTCCCGCCTCTTAAACAACCATACAATATTGACAGAGGCGTTAAACCTATGCAAGGAACATGCCGTGACAAGCAGCATCCCCTCACTACTGTCTTGTTCGTCTAATCTTTTCTTTGAACCTGATAATAGTGAAAGTGAAAAGAAGATCGTTGAGAAATCAAAATTTTGGATGTTTAACAGTAGACATTGTAGATCTAGGTCACACATTAATATTCGAAATTGAAATTGGATCTTATTTTATTCTTGGGAAATACAGAATAGAACTACAGAGAACAGATTCTTTCCACTGGGCATAAACTGGAGCTCGATAACCTCCGCCATTTGTCACACACAATAAATGTCATCCGTCAGAAATTTCAAGGATCTAGACGCCCACCTGTCTAGGCAGAGATCGGATGCTATGCCTTCTCCATAACCACTCCTTTGTCTCTTTTAGTTTTAGTAAGAGTTTTACGGCTCTTGCAACACAATAAGGTCATATAAGTGTCGAAGAATAGATTATGTGTTACAAGAGAGTAACATACACAAAAAAGAAGGAGGGGAGAGAAGGACGACAGATGTTTGATAGGAAAGAAGGAGCAAACCACACCAGAACACCCGCCAACCACCCACTCCTTTGACTCAACATTTGCTTTCGCCAGTAATAAATTATTATAGACCTCATACTCATTGGAAATAAAAAAGCAACAACAACAACCATAACAACAACAATAACAACGACAATAACAACGACGACAACAACAATGACAACAACAACAACAACAAAAACAACAACAACAACAGCAGCAACGACAGCCAATAAGCACTGTATAAATTAATCGATTAATGCAGAACTGGTTATAAAATCCAAGCGAACATGCTATATAATTTATTGTCTTCCCAGTACCCAGAACAGCACTTTCACGTCCTTCAACACTGAGCCGGGCGGTGGTTATTTGGTCCATTTCACGGACAAGAGTTTCCACAGCGGAGAGCGATTCAAGCTCTACAGTGGCATCTTCCTGGGTCGGGGGGCACAATGTCCTGGTCGCTGTGTGGTCAAAATCAGCAAAGGGGCGGACTTAGCTTCAAAGGTAAGAGACAATTGCGGGTTTTATGTGAGCGTTTTTTTAAAATGGTTTTAGTAAGAGTTTTATGGCACTTTGTCAGCACAATAACATCTTATGAGTACCGAAGATTAGAGGTGATACAAGAGCTAGAGAGTAATATTTCTTTGTTTTATCTCAGCCGGAATGTTTGTTTTAGTAGAGGTTTTTGCGGCGCTCGCAACTGCATAAGGTCATATGAGCGCATAGGGGTGGATGTCAACAGAGAAGTCCTTACAGGGAATCAGACTTACTCTGCTCACATCTCTAGCCTCAACAGCACAAAATCTGCTTCGACTATCACGGCACCCCGGAAATAACGGATCACAAGAGTGGGACAAACATACAAAAGAAGTAGAGGAGAAATGACGATAGTAAGGATTAGGAAAGAAAAAGCAGAAGTTCCTTGTTGTAGTTCAGGCACAGTTATGAGCATGACATTATTGGATCAGCCCATTTACAATTCTACAGTGCATTAGAACGAGAATATCCCCCCTTTGGGAATGGCCTAAAGACACTTCAACAGTCAGTCGCACCGCCCTAGGTGGTTCACCTGGAATCTTGACAGGGAACAATGATTGCAGTCCAGTAGGGTGTTGAATGTCAAACTTTGTCATGAAATTGACTCAGGAATTGAAATGTTCATACTGCGGTTAAATTCTCAATAACGTTCCTGAATGAATAGAATTGACGCTTTTTTTCTTTTCATTATCATCATTATCGTCAAATAAAAAAGGGTTGAGACTTGGAGAATTTCCAAGAAAATCATCATCATCATCATCATCATCATCATCATCATCATCATCATCATCATCATCTTCATCATCTTCATCATCATCATCATCATCGTCGTCGTTGTCGTTGTCATCGCTGCCAAAATTCATCACCACCAACTCCACCACCACCATCATCACCATCATCACCACCACCTAGCATCTGTTTAGTTTTAGTAGAGGTTTAACGGCGCTCGCAACTGCATAAGGTCATATGAGCGCCAGAAGATTAGATGTGTTACAAGAAAGTAACAAACATAAAAAAGAAGTAGGGGAGATAAGGACAATAGATGTTTCATAGGAAAGAAGAAGCAAACCACACCAGAGCACCCGCCAACCACCCACACCTAGCATCTGTTTTTAATACTTTGCGGTCACTTGGCGCCATAACGCGTCGGTGAAAATGTTATCCGTTCCGGTCACCTGCTGTAGTTCTGCGCCAGGCCCAAGAAGACCGTTGCAGTCACTCTCCTGGCTGGGTGACCAGATTGGGGTACATGTATTTTGTACTGCTGGCTGTGTGACTGTAAAGTGATGAACAAATGGCATAACGGCTACTTCGTTTCTCCACAGGCTGACTGTCTGATTGAAGACAAAAAATCCAAGCAGGCCCGCGCCTTCTCGCTTGCCTTCCGTGAGTTGTCCGGGAGAACTGAGATCAAGTTCGTTCAGCTGTACGCGGCAGAGATCGACGAGATCTCCTTGCAGAAACGGCTGTTTTGGAGTGGCAAACATAAAATCACCAGACAGAACTATGTCCTTTTTGAGGAAGACTTGAGAGAAAATTTTGACAACCTGCACTTCTCAGGGCGTGAAAAGCTTTCGAAGTATCTGGACTCAAAAGGCAGAGAAAAATTGGTCGCAGCAAAAGACCTCCAGGCTTTTACACACTTCTCGTACCATGTCTCGCATGGGAAGCTGGTGATCTGTGACGTAGAAGGGGTTGAAACGAAAGATGGGTTTCGTTTGAAGACTCCAACCATACACTCCACGGCAAAGAAATTTGGCATCTCCGATAAGGGTGAGAAGGGAATTGAAGAAGTGTTTCGACACCACACATGTAATGATATCTGTCAGGGTATGATCAAACCTCAAAATCAGGGAGGAGACAGACCACGTGAACTCACATCCTATTCTGAGGCTCAAAACTACAGAAGAGAAAATGGACAAACTACACAACAGCGGGACTCTTTTGTCCGTGCAACCGCTCCAGATCTAGAAGACATTTCCGAAACGCGTCGAAATGAAGAACAATCTCCAGAGGAAATGTCCGCAAGCCGTTACGATTTTCAGCTTCAACAGCGGGGTTCCCGCTCACTGTGGCAGAATCCACCCTCTTATGATGAGATAGTGGCTCTCACAAGAAACAGCAGGCTGGCCCAGCACCGTGGAAACATGGCACAAGAACCGCTCACCCCTCCCCCCGTGTACACTCCACCATCATATCATGTTTCGGTGGTCCAACCACCCTCCTATTATTCCTACTGCGGTCATGATACAGAGGAACCACCGCCATCATATCGCTCCGTGGAAGACTCAACTCAAGGTCATTCTGTTGTGTGAACAAAACCACACCCACACTGAAAAAAACAAGAGAAATGAACAAGAGAAAAAGCATAACAACGGAGCAGGGAATAAACAATAAATAAAACACTCTTCCAAATTATCAAATCCCGCCCTCCCCCGTTTCATGTATCTATAGTGGGAGTTTTAGAAGAAGTGATGTGTGCTGTTTTTATTCTTGAATAAGGGGAAAACATAATAGCTTTGTTTCAATTTCTCTAGAGCGAACAGTTTATCTTGTCTGTATTTACATACAAGTACATGGAAAGGCCTCAGCGGTGGAGGGGTTAAGGAAGATTTTGCTCCGAAAAAAACTGCAGACCTTCCAAGAACGGACTGAATGTGTTATACGGGGTGCCCACTACTGTTGGATCGGGCCGATCGCCCGACTCGATCCCCTGAAACTGAAAACAAATACATTTGTTTTGCTTTTGAGGCGACCGAGTCGGGCAATCGACCCGATCGGCCGATCCCGTCCGTAGTGGGAACCCCGTATTACTCTTACCGTGGTAATTTTTTTCAGTTAGTTCGTGTAGCTTATTGCCATCGCTAAACGAATGTTATTGTAACTATGTCCTTTCTCTTCAACCCAAGAAAACAACTCACATCAAATCCGCTAGTCTCTCATACCACACCCCACCGCCATGTACACATACACCCACACGAACACACACGAACACACACACACACACACACACACACACACACACACACACACACACACACACACACACACACACACACACACGTTAATCTCCTTGTGCGTCACCTTGTGGCATCGAATTCTCACTTTGCTACCATTATGTACTAAAAGATAGCAGTAACCACGTTCATGCCTCATGCTATGGGATAAATCAGAGTGGTTTTGGTTGTATGTGTGTTTGTTTGTTTGTTTATTTGTTTGTATTCCCATTTCCGAGCGACATCAAAACTACGCACAGAATAGTCATTTTTGAAGCAGAGATCTTTTTATTTGGTTTTTGGGTTTGCTTTTTTTTGTTTTTGTTTTATTTTTTAGGGTGGTGGGTGGGTGTTTATTTTGGTTTTACTATCATTTTTTTTTTCTTTTACTTTGTTTTTTTGTTTGGGGGGGGAGGGGGGTTGTTAAGGTGCAGACCTCTATTCGGAACTGACAATTGGTTTGACCTAGAATGCAAATCCGGGGTCAGT